CTCCTATATAAACAACTTTCCCCTCAGTAACCATTGAGCAACTCAGTGGTACCATTTACATAGGAAAGGCAGGGAGTTTTCTTGATTTTTGACTGTTGGCCACTTTGCAGAATAACAAGCTGATTCCCCACTATCTCCCAAAGGTGACTGATGAATTTTTTACATCAGTATGCACTCATGCATTTAAAAACAGTTGAGATCGCAGTTATTCTCATTAGCAGTTTGTAGATTTGAGAATTTGTGAAAAGATAGGTATTCAGTCTGTTAGAAATGATGAAGGCTGGAAGAGAAGGTATCTTCAGTATAGGAACCTATAGATACAGTAACTCAGGCATATTCATTATGTGTGTGTTAGATCCAAAGGTTCCCAGACGTTCTCAGTTCAGAGCACCCCTATGTAAGGTTCTGTAATTTCCATTAATTAAATAGGTAGGTCCAAACAACTTAAGTATTTATGTCCTAGCAACTTAGAGACCTTTGGAAAAGCAATATACAGTCCCTAACTCACAATGGTTCATCTTAAGAGTTTTGACTTTATAATGTGCAAAAACGATATGCATTCATTAGAACCCATACATTAAATTTTGAATGTTGATCTTTTCCTGGACCGAAGATCTGCGGTAGGATCCTCTCTCGGGATGCTGGGCAGTGGCAGGAACCCCAGCACCCAGTCGGCCACGCGGTCACGAGGGTAGCGGTCGATACCCTTGGCAGACATTCTGTTTTTCACTGTCAGTACAGTATTCAGCAAATTACATGAGATATTGAATGCTTTATTATAAAATAGGCTTTGTGTGGGAGGATTTGGCCCAACTGTGGGCTAATGTCAATGTTCCGAGCACGTTTAAGGTAGGCGAGCCTAAGGTATGGTGTTCGGTAGGTTAGGTGTATCAAGTGCATTTCAACATTTTCAACTTGCAGTTGAAAGTTATGGTTCTCAATGTGGTTACAGCAGTTACCAGGACATGACCTTTATTATAAATTGAGGAATATCTGTACATACGAATTTGAAGAAAAAATATTTTCAGTAAGTCACCAAAATTACTTAGGAATAGAACGTAAGCCTGTTGAGCACTTTTACAATCATGGAATCAGAGTGGACGCTGCCATCCCTAGTGCCTGCTGCACATGGATTTTCACACAGAACATTCTCAGTAACCGCAGAAACCTAGCCTTGCACAGACCTGCAGCACCGGAAAGGAATGTAGCAAGAGAAACTGTTGAAACTGTGAGCACCTGAACCACAGTGTCCAGCCATGTTGAGGATCACTGGTCCCCTCAGAAGCTGCATGTCCTGTGGCACCCAGCAGGGTCACAGTGTGGCCAGATGTTTCTTAGCGCACCGTGTGGGAACCACAGCTGTGTGTCCTTCCCATTTCCGTGGTCATCCTCACCCCAGGGCTACATTTTGGTGTCAAGCCACCCCCACCCCCAGAGCGTTCAGGAGCAGGTCCCAGGGTCTTGTGGCAGTTACTGTGACATGCAGGCCACCAACCTGCACAGAGGTGTTCCTTTGCTGCCATTGTTGCCGGCCTTAGTGCTTAGAGGATGTTTTCCTTATCCTTTGATTTCAGCCATACCAGAGCTGAAGACCTGGCTTTGACTTCAGTAAACCATTGTGACGTGCAGTTTCCCCTTCCCGTCTCTGGAGCAGGGTTTAACCAAAGAGGGTGTCAGTCTTTCAGGATTGATGTAAAAATAGTTCAGCCTGATCAGAGACGGTGGTCTGCTGTCAGCGCTCATTTCCCTGCTGTCAGGACTGAAAAATGCCAGACTCAAAAATGCCAATCCTACCTTTCCCTGGCCACCTATTCTGTGTCTCCGTTGTGGGGCTGGGCATGGGAGGAGTGTACCCGGACTCCCCACTGTTGGTGTTGAGCTTGGCCATTGTGGAGGCCAAAAGACTGTGGTCAGAGTTGGCAACATGCAAATTCTGAACTGGGGCCTCTGGAGGCATTGTTTATTTGCTCCTCTGGAAGTTTCACCTTCCACCATTTACAAGACTGTGCCTTGGGTAGCTGCAGGCCTGTGAGCATGAGGAAAAAATGCATATATTGTACATTGAGTTTGGGGATTGCTTGTTACACAAGAGCTGACTGATAAAAATTGAAAAGAAGTCCATGAGAAAAAGGTAAGAGAGTGACAAATAGAACCTTTGAGAGGGTTGTTATTTTTAAGGATAAAGACGATTTTTAAGGAGATGTGATATGTGTCTTCCGTGGAATGTTATCCGTTGATACTTAAACCCAAGAGGAGGGCAGTGACAGTTTTTCCCCCCATTTTATAGATGAAGACGAGGCTCAAAATGAGAGTGAGGATACAGGGCGCCTGGGTGGCTCAGTCATTAAGCGTCTGCCTTCAGCTCAGGTCATGATCTCAGGGTCCTGGGATCGAGTCCCCCGTTGGGCTCCCTCTCCCTCTGTCCCTCCCGTTTCTGCGCACGTGCGTGCTCTCTCAAACGCGTAGATAAATCTTTAAAAAAAAAAAAAATGGGTGAAGATGCAGCGGGTGAGTCTGGTGCCGGCCCCAGACCCCCAACTCCTGATCGAAGCTCTTTTGCGGGCTGTGTTGCTTCTCCTGCAGGCCCAACTCCTAGGGCAGCCGACACAGCAGCCATGCACTGGCCTGGCTCTTGGTATAAGTGGGGCCGCAGTGAGGACCCAGGAGGGAGGGCAGAGACCACACCAGGGAGCTTCACAGGGCACAGGGGCAGCGTTTTGCCCAGGAGGGGTGTGCTGATAGGTGCCCGTGTTGCGTGTGCTGAGAACTGGAAGGACCAGGTAGCTACGGGGTGACACTTAATGCCACCTGTGGGCGGCATCCCATGTTCGTTCAGAAGCGGGGCTGGCAGCCTCCCTCTGCATTTGCTCCCAGGTTTCCCTTGAAAGGTCCGGCAGGGGGCGTCTAGCAACGAGTGCATGGGAGAACAGGCTCCAGGTGCCTGCGGTGCACACACCAACAGTCTTGCTCGCTGAGCACAATCTGGATTTTGATGTGCTTAAAAACTCAAGAGATGGAGAATGGGAGAGGCAGCAAGCAAATCTTTCTTTGTTCAGGCTGTGATGGGCGTGCTGGCAGTTTGAGGGCCAGGCCACCTGACTACACAGGAGGGACATGTGAACGGACTGGTGTGACAGCCACAGCTGTCTGTCAGCAGGCTTTCATTACCTTGGACTCCTGGTCTTGTTGGTTTACCTTCTGACCGGTTTTTCATCCCCTCTGCCACCTCCTGCCCCGTGACGCTCTGGCTGGATGCGCACTTCCCTGACCCTTGCCTCAAGGCCGCCCCAGCTCCCTGTCCTCCAGTCCTGCAGCCCCTCCTGATGGGCGGAGTCCCTTCCACGGGGTCGTAATGGCTCCCAGAAGAGATCCCTGGCCTAATTCCTGGAACCTCTGAATGTTAACTTAGAGGGCAGGAAATAGATTCTGCAGGTGCAATCAAGTCAAGGCTCTTGAGATGGGGAGAAGGTTCTGAAGGTCCGGGAGGATGCTAAATCCCATCCCATGGATCTTGTAAGAGGAGCAGAGAGAACTGACAGCAGCGTGCCGATGGTGGGCGGAGTGGGGTGACCTGGAGCCCCCCAGGAGCTGGAGATTCAGGGAACCTTCCCCTCATGTCTCTACGGTAGTGCGGCCCCCGGGACACTTTGATTTCAGCGCCGTGAAATGGATTTTGGTCTTTGGCCTCCACAGCTGTTTGTTAGAGAATACATTTTTGTCAATTTAAGCCACCAGCTTTTTAGTGACTTGTTTCTGCAGACACAGAAAATGACCACAAACAGGACAGTCAGGGATTCCAAAACAGAAATGACTGGACATGAGGCCTAGCCCAGAGCCTTCAGCTGCTTGATGGTGTCCCTCAGTCACCTGGGGTCACCTCCGCCTGAAACACACTCTTCACCCTAAGGTTCCCCGTAGCCTTGCTGGCAATGGAGGTGGGCCCTGCATCCCGCTGCTTCCTGGGGCCCACGGCACGTGCTCCTCAGGGAGAGCCCAATTTCCAGCCCAGTGGCCTGCAGCCGAAACTGCGGACCCATGAGGAAGCGGTGGTTGGGCCTCGGGGGGAATGGCTGGCTTTGACCTCTGGCTCCAAGGTCATCTCCAGACTGGAACACAGCCGGGCCCACCCCCTGACGCACACCTGCTACCTGGGAGAGCAGCATGTGTGAAGGACACAGGCACCTCGGCCCAGTCATTAGACTTTTTAAAACCAAGGGCACATATTATCCGGTGCTTTTACAGCAGCAAGAACCTGTGCCTGTTGGAATAGGTGCACGCCAGCCAACCAGGTGCGTGGGAAAGCCACACAGGCTGCACCATTGTTCTCTGTCCCCCAGGTGATGCCCTGGGAAAGGTCACAACTGTCTAAACCTTTAAAACCCCAGGGGGAAACATTCCCTGTGCTGGGACTCAGCTGCAACTCTGCATGGGTGTCTCGCCTGTTTTTTAATTCACTCCCTTTGCAACTAATTTTTCTTAAAGTAGCAAAAGGAGACCATAGATACTGAGCAGAGAATATCTATTCCTAACTCTTGTAAGAATTTCCATCGTCTTTGTAGAAGCTGATCTTTGGGTGAGTGTCTGGTGCCCCAAGGGCAGTGTGACACAGGGCCCATGGAAAAGGGGTGCCAGGCCTGGAGGCCCCTCAGGTGACTGGCCCCTTGGGAAGAGCCCTTGCCAGTCCAGGCTGGGTGGGTGCCTGGAGCAGGGAGGGCAGTGAGCCAGGGTCTCAGCAACAGAGGGCCGGGGGCCACCTCGGGCTGGCAACTCTCACAGGGGCTGGTCTTCTGGCAGGTGTAGTGAGAAGACCCAGACAGGTTAGCTGTCTGGCTCTCTGGACACTGGGGAGAGGGTTGTGCTCAGCCTGGCCTGTTCAGCATAGCCCACAGAAACAGGATTTACTCTGCTTTGGGCTCCACCAGCCCCACCTGGTTGGACTCTGGGGGAGGAGGCGCTGTCCTATTTCCAGACTCACAGGTAAACATCCCTCCTGTTCCAGGATGAGAGGCGCCAGGCTGATGGGGGCACTGCTCGCCCTGGCTGGCCTGCTGCAGGTGGCCCTGTCCCTGAAAATAGCAGCCTTCAACATCCGAACTTTTGGGGAGACCAAGATGTCCAACGCCACGCTCTCCCACTACATTGTGCAGGTCAGTCCAGGCCGGCCTGTCCCCAAGGAACCCCGGGGTGGGGGGGGTGGTGTCTAACAGGTCCTGGGAACACTGGGGCAGCAGCCAGTCCTGAGGGCGACCACAGACGGGGTATAGAGAGCCTCTGGTGACAGGGAGGAGCCCCGTCTGCTGTTCATCCATGGTCGGCAACAGAATCCCAGGCAGGAGCATCAGGCCAAACCATGACCTGAATATGCCCCAGGGAGCATTTCAGCCCTTGTGGGGACCTGCAGCTGGTGTCCACCCAGGCTGCCCTGCTCAGCACCACCGTGGCCCTGTCCACAGATCCTGAGTCGCTACGACATTGCTGTCATCCAGGAGGTCAGAGACAGCCACCTGACAGCCGTGGTGATGCTGCTGGACATACTCAATCAGTGGGTGATTGGGGGGTGCTGGGGAGGCACAGGACGGTGATCCTCCCCCCATGGCACAGTACCATTGCCTGATGGAGCCAAGAGCCCCGCTGTGGGCAACAGGAGGGTTCCCTGGGGGCCCCCTGATGGGCACGTTCGTTTCCTTGATCCAGGGATGACCCCAACACCTATCAGTTCCTGGTCAGTAAGCCGGTGGGCCGCAACAGCTACAAGGAACAGTACCTCTTCTTGTTCAGGTAAAGCCCCAGCGCCGAGAGATGGGGGCCACCCGGGGACGCTGAGGCTGAGGGGGTCTTCAAGGGCTGCAGTCTGTCCTACGGGGAGGAACTGGAGGCCACAGAGCACGAGCCAAGAGCCCGGGGCCCTGGTGTGGGCCGCCCCCCTCCACCAGGCCACACCCCCGGTCCCAGGCTAAGCCCTTGGCCTTCCCCAGACCCAACCAGGTGTCTGTACTGGACAGCTACCAATATGACGACGGCTGCGAGCCCTGCGGGAATGACACTTTCAGCCGCGAGCCCACCATCGTCCTGTTCCACTCCCCGCTCACCGGTATGCACCCCTTCCTGGGGCCCCTGGAAAGCCCTGGTCCCCCCTAGTGCTTCGGTCTGACGTTGAAGGCACTCAGGAACACGCCGCCTTGGGACTGGCTCATGCCCCCACCCTGGGACTGAGCAGGACCACCCTCTCCCCAGCGGTCCAGGCCTTCGCCATTATTCCCTTGCATGCGGCCCCCCTGGAGGCCGTGGCGGAGATGGACTCGCTCTATGATGTCTACCTGGATGTCCGGCAGAAGTGGGACCTGGAGGTGAGTCCCCCACCCCAGGCTCCGGGGGCATGTGCGACGTGCCCAGGCCAAGCAGCTGCCGTCTCCTACTAGGACATCATGCTCATGGGCGACTTCAACGCTGGCTGCAGCTACATAGCCCCCTCCCAGTGGGCCTCCATCCGCCTGCGCATGAACCCGGCCTTCCAGTGGCTGATTCCTGATACCGCAGACACCACGGCCACCGCCACGCACTGTGCCTACGACAGGTAGGGAGGGGGTCGACTCTGGGAGCAGCCTTGCCTCCTAGGTCTAGCTTCCCGAAACCTAGGGCAGTCACCCTCCTGAGCTGCAGGCAGTGGGGTACAGTCCAGGACCCTAGTGCCCAGTCCCTCAGCCCAGCCAGGGACCTTCTCGTGTGTGGCAGGATCGTGGTGGCAGGGACGCTGCTCCAGCACGCCATCGTTCCGGACTCGGCCACCCCCTTTGACTTCCAGGCTGCCTACGGCCTGAGCAGCGAGCTGGTAGGTGTCCTCCCTTACGTGCTTCAGCTTTGCTGGGGCCAGTACGTGGTGCGGGGGGGGGGGGGCCTGGTCACAAAGTACCGTGTGCAGAGCAGGTCGTGCACCCCAGTCCTATGGGTTTCCCCACAGGCCCAGGCCATCAGCGACCATTACCCGGTGGAGGTGATGCTAAAGACAGTTTGATGTGAATGGGGCCTGGGCTGGTGACCTCTCCCCTCTTCAGCTTGCCTGTCCTCACGGTAAGCATGGGCGATGAGGTTTTCCTCTGAGCACCCTCCCCCGAACCACCCCAGCAGCTGGAGTCTGGGGAAGTAGACCTGGCAGTATCTTTGCTTCCTGTGTGAGCAAGGGCCCTGTGGCAGCCGAGCGCCTACCTGCCTTTGCAGTCCAGACACAAGTTTACCATTTAGATTAACAAATGCTTTTAAGTAAATAAAGCTCAAAGGGGGTGTTGTCACTGGTGGCACGTAGTCCTTTTTTCTCCCTGGCTGGTCTCAGGCTGCCTCGTCGTCCTCCACTTGAGCCCTAGTCCCTGCAGGTAGACTGGGGGCCTTCATGCCCACGGCCCCTCAGTGTCGCTCTAGGGCCTTCACAAGCAGGTGGTTCAGGCGGCCCACCATGGGGCGGGGGTCATCGACGAGCCCCGCGGCAATCATGGCGTTCTCATAGATCTGAAAGGTAGGGGTAACCTCATCAGTGAGAGGACAAGGCCCTGCAGAGGGGGAAAAAAAAAAAAAGAGCACTACCTTTTTCAAAATGGGGTATTAGGGGCACCTGGGTGGCTCAGGTCATGATCTCAGGGTCCTAGGACTAAGCCCCGCACTGGGCTCCCTGCTCAGCAGGGAACCTGCTTCTCCCTTTGCTGCCGTGCCACCCCCCCGCCACGCGCTCTCTCAAAACTTTAAACCAGGGTTCTAAAGGTAACAGGTGTCCCACTTCACCAGACGATGTGGGCACCGCAGTTCTGCTCGTCCCCAGGAGACTCACCTGATCAACCAGTAGCTGGGCCAGGTCAGGCTCACTCTCTCTCAGCTGACTGAGCTTCTTGATCAGCGTGTGTCTATAGCATAGAAAACACCAGAAATTAGCTCAAGAGCCTGTGTGTTCTGATGACTTTTCTGAGAGTCTGGGGTTATCTGAACATTCAAAAAAATGTAGGAGGATGGTCCAGTATAAGAAGCACAATGGGGGCACCTGAGTGGCTCAAGCAACTGCTTTCGGCTCAGGTCATGATCCTGGGACCCCAGGATCGAGCCCAATGTTGGGCTCCCTGTTCGGTGGGAAGTCTGCCTCTCTCTCTCGTGCTAATAAAGAAAAAGCACGTATCAATTTCAGATGATATACCAAGAAAACCAGGAGAAACAGATTTGATTAGCAAATGCAGCAAATACCAAAATATTTGAAAAAGACATTAGTTGTCAGAAACCCTACTTAATCCATACGTTTAACAGATTAACCTATTAGATTGTTAAAGCATAAAAAAAATCTTTTAAATTCATAAACATGGAAGAACAGCCACGGGAAGACCTCTCGCAGGTATTAAAGTGTATTATAAGGCTCCAGTAATTGGACTCCTGGCTCCGAAAAGTGAAAAGCCAACATCTGGGGCCCCTGGTTGGCTCAGCTGGTAGAGTGACTCGATCTCAGGGTCCTGAGTTCAAGCCCCATGTTGGGTGTAGAGCTTACTTTAAAAATAAACTACAGCATTAAAAAGCCGATAGCATTTTTGGGGTGCCTGGGTGGCTCAGTTAAGTGTCTGCCTTCAGCTGGAGTGCTGGGATTGAACCCTGGGTCGGGCTCCCTGTTCAGCAGGGAATCTGCTTCTCACTCTCTTGAATGAATAAATAAAATCTTTTTTTAAAACAAAAAAAAAGTGAACATCTCGGTGCAAACAGAGATCGCCTAACTGTACGTGAGGGAGGGTAACTGGCCAATCACTCAGAATGCTACTGGATTTCTACTGGATTCCTTAGATCAAAAGAAATACGAACATTTAGAGGAAAATTTCAGAAGGACTTTTGAAGCAAAATACACAGAGGTCAAAAAGGAGAGAGCTTTGCATGAGAAGTGCATCTCTTCCTGCACAGGAGAAAACACCGTAAATACACCGACCTATGTCAAAATTGAGAAGTTTGGTAAAACTGAAGGCGTCAGGGAAATTGAAGTGTGTCTGCCACAGAGGACAGTGGGAGTCTGTAAACTGGGCGCGTACACTGCTCTGAGACACAGCAACCCCCTTCCCACAGCACTGCATCCGGTAAAACACTCCAAGAGCCACCAGCAAATGTGCTTGCACACGCACCCGCTGGCTCTGGGAAGACACACACACCTAACGTGGGCCGCACAGGGGCGCAAAGGTGCAAGGGAAATGTCACTGTGAACTCTCTTGGTTCTTCAGATTTCTGAACCAGATGAACGAATTACCAATTTTAAAAGCAACTAAAATTTCAGAATAGGCTCTGGCAACAGAAATGAGCACCCGGTACAGCTCCCTCACAGAACCACTTCCGAGCCAGCATGAAGGCACGCCCACGGGGCCAGTCCGCACCTCGGCCAGGCACTCACAGCTGGAAGCCCCCTGTGCGGCTGGACAGAGGTGCGCACGGGAGCGGCTCCTGCGCGGAGCTGCCCAACTGGCCGTGAGCCACGTCCAACCTCTCATCCACAGGCTCTGTGTCTGGTCATTTGGCTCACAACGTGGAAAAGGAACCTCTTTCCTCCCCCCGGCAGTCTAAACAAAATTTATGATTATAAACCAACATGAAAAACATGGTAATGATTAAAAATAGTAATTAAAAAAAAAGCATTCAGGGTCGCCTGGGTGGCTCAGTCAGCTGAGCGTCCAACTTGGTTTTGGCTCGGATCATGATCTCAGGGTTACAGGCCCCGCGCTCAGCAGGGAGTCTGCTTGAGATTCTCTCGCCCTCTCCCTCTCTCCCTTACCCCCTCCATGCTCACTTGCACTCTCTAATAAAATCTTAAAAAAAAAAAAAAGCATACAACAATGTAAGACCAGAGTCCAGAAAATACACCAAATGGGCTGTAGTGACTGTGGTAGGGGACAACCCTAGATGTTTGCTTTTTGCTATTTTCTAACATTTTTGGTAAACTGTTGGTGTAATTTCATTTAAAAAATTACTTAAGGGGCGCCTAGGTGGCTCAGTCAGTTAAGCAGCCAACTCTTGGTTTCAGCTCAGGTCATGATCCCAGGGTCATGGTATCGAGCCCCACACTCAACGCAGAGTCTGCTTGAGATTCTCCCTCCCTCCGCCCCTACCTCCAACCATGTGCTCCCTCCTCTCTGTAAAATAAATCTTTTTTTTTTAAAGATTTATTTATTCATTTTGAGAGAATGAGAGAGAGAGAGAGAGAGAGAGAGAGAGAGAGAGAGAGAGAGAGAGGAGGGCCAGAGGGAGAAGCAGGTTCCCCGCTGAGCAGGGAGCCCGATGCGGGACTCGATCCCGGGACTCCAGGATCATGACCTGAGCCGAAGGCAGTCGCTTAACCAACTGAGCCACCCAGGCGCCCTGTAAAATAAATCTTATAAAATTACTACTGTATACAAAATCGCTCCAAAAAAAACTGCAAGTTAGAAAATGGCATTTCTAAATATCCAATAAATAAGGTACATCATAAAGAATGTGCAATACCTCTACAGTTACCAAAAAATATTAAATAAGACCTAAATAGAGAAATCTGGCATGTTCATGGATGAAAGATTGGATACAAAGATGCCAGTTCATTCGAAATTGACTTGGGAGCCAGTATAACCTCAACCACAAGCCCAACTGTGTGTGGGGGCGGGGCGGGGGGGAATACCTGTTAGGCCACCTCGTCCAAGCACAGACCTACAGGATGGAAGATACCCTTGAAGGGAAATAAGGGGGGACTCACTGAATACAGATGTGCAGGGAACACCGTGCACTGCGGCCACGTGATGCTGTACAGAGACGTGAAACCAATCAGCAGGGAGAGGACAGCCGTGAGCAGTCACGGCACAGGGCAAGCAGGTGTTCATGTGGAGTGAGAGACGACAACTCTCCCACATCACGAACCAATGAGAGATGAACTAAAACCTTAAAGCTTTTAGACAGAAAGAATACATTCAAGACCCTGTAAAGATTTCTCCAAGACCTAGAACAGCAACGAACACAGACTTCCAGCATGGTGGGGGGACAGGGGCAGTGGGCGAAGGGGTTGAGGGGCTCAAACTTCAGTTGTAAAGTCAAGTCAGAGGAAGAGAAGTACAGCACAGAACCATCGGTAGTAGCACAGTGATGCGGTAAGGGACTTCTCACGGTGAGCCCGTTGTCACGTCCATAAACGTCAACATCACTATGTTGTACGCCTTAAACTAACACCGTATGTCCACTAGACTTCAACCAAAGTAATGAGTTTTTTAAAAATTATGATTTCGTTAAAATTAAGAACTTCTCAGAACACATCTTTAGGCAGATAAAACGACACTGGAAGAAGACAGTGGCAACCGAGAAAGCATACGTAAACTATGAAACAGAACAGGAAAAAGGCTGGTCTTGGGCGCGTCCTCGAAAAAGGCTGGTCTTGGGCGCGTCCTTGCGCGCAGGGCCCAGGGCCGCAGTGTGTGGGCAGCGGCGTCTCCTCGCCTCGCGGAGGGCACCTGGGCAGGTGAGCCTCAGGGAGACGCGCGGGGGCCAGACGAGACAGGAGTGTTCACAGCAACCCGTTCCCAGCAGCCCCCAAATGAGAACAACTCACAAGTCCACCAAGACAGACTAAATCGCGGCGCTGAGGCACACTCCGGCCTGTCACTCCGCCCCGGACACGACCGCACCCCCGGCCGCCCTCCCCGGGCACCGCCTGTCGCCGAGTGAAGGAAGCACTTTTGAAGCACGTGCCCGGCGACTCCACCGACAGGCCACTCAGACCTGTCTCCAGGACACACGGCGGATGTCGGAATAGAGCTCGGGGAGGAACTCTGTCTCTACAGTGAGGGCTGTGTGGCTTCTGAGGAAGGACAGGCCCCCACTGGGCCACCTGCGGTGTTCTAGAACCTCCTGCAGGGGGTTGGGGGCCATGTAAACTGAAATGCAGTTGGATCACACAGGTGGTGTCTTTATGGTCACCAAACTGCATGTAAGCCTTTTGCCCTTTGTAGCTGTCAGAGACACAAGCAGCTCACACACAACTGTGGATTACCGGGC